TAACATGAGGATCAATTGCAAGATCTAACAACATAACAGTATCAGAAAAATGTTTAATACAATTTTTCCTCATAATCAGAAGCCATATACTATCTAATAGCTGCATTTTTCCTGTCGTACTAGCCGGAATTATTAGAAAAACAATGTTTGTTGCAGATTCAGGTCTAGTTTCCAAAATTATATTGAGATAATGTCCACTCCATGAATTGAATAATAATTCACATTGTGATCCAACATTTGGAAAAAGTACTTCTTTCAATCAAGTTTTTACATAATTTGATGTTAATTTGTCTGATTTAAAATATTTTAATTGTGACTCTTACGAACTGTCAGTAATTTTTGACAGTGTTGGTTATTAAGATTTTTTTAATACATATAATATGTACTGAAGATTTTATCTTTATAAGTTTCTTGTTTCCGAATCTTTGGGTGAGAAATAACGAAGGTTAATCTCATTCGTCGTGACTTCCACTGGATTGCAACCATGTGCAATGACAACTTATGTGATGACTGATGGGGTCTCTCGCCAAGGATTCAACTCAATTCTGTGGATTATTGCTGAAGATCACTCGAACGTTAATCAAAATATCCACAAATAAATTGAAGATTTACACATATAAAATTTGCGCAACGCTTACAGCACAGCGCTTCACTCTCATTAGCCCGTGCTTCACTTTTTAAAATTATTTTTTTGATTAAACAAAATTTTTTTTGTAGTTTAAAAGATAAAAATTGTAGAAGTCATATTTGTAATATGTAATTTTTCACAAAAATAAATATTTTTAATGTAGGTATTTACCGTAATGAATGTACTATTTTGACTTCAGATTTTTAATCAGCGATCTCGGAAACCTAGTATAATTTTTATCAAAAATTAAATTATATTTCCAATTTGACATCCATCAAACTTGATTCGCTGTTTTGAATTTCTTAACTGTTGCAATGTTTATTAATGATTTCTTAAGGATGTATTATATATTTTGAAAATATTCAAAAAATTATGAAAAAATTACGAATTGTGTTTTATATTATATTTGAAAGTAGTAGAAAAAATTTAGCGATAATTTTCTACTTAAAAAATTATTTAATAAGATATAGATATGCATTCTAATGAATATATTCAGAAATAATTAAAAAAATCATATTTTTTATTAAGTATTTTAATTATACCTATATATTCAAAATGATTTGTATAATATAAAATTTCATTGCGATGCAGAAGATTAGTTGTTTCGTAAATAAACAAAATTATTTTATTTATTTATTTACTTACAGAATAACTAAACAGACAATTACAATAAAATTTTGTATAAATCATCTTGAATATTTAAAGTACTTATACAAAAAAATTGAGATTTTTCTTAATGTTATAAAAATATTTAATTTTTAATAACAAATAGATTAAATAAATTATATAAATGTCTCGGTAGTCTAAAAGGCTCGCACAGAATTCAAGAGATTCGTATTCGACTCCCGAGACAATATTTTCCGCAATAAATTTATTACAGTTTTTTAAGATTAAATTTGGGAAATTTGGGGGGGATTATCAATATTTCAGATTGATTGAGTTGAAAGTCCGACAATCATATCGGCACGCAATTATCATTTCTGAAATTAATTCATTTAAATGAATATATATAATAGTTCAACATCTTAACATTCAGACCGTAGTGGCGCTTCGTATTTAAAGTATTATATAAATGTATTATTAAATAAAAATATATCTTATTCATAATTTTATTCATAATTTTTATATATATATAGTTCATTTGAAGTTGTTAACATTACACATTTCCTAATTTAATTTACTTTGTAAAAATTATACGACCAATAAAAATTAAAAATACGTTAAATATATATTAAATAATATGTTTAATATATTAAAAATGTTATTTACATGTAAATATTGTGCAAATCGATTCATAACGGTAGGTTTATTTATATTTTTATTTTTATTATTCACAACACATGAAAGTTATATTGGATTTATTATAATGAATTTTGTAATTTTAATCCTCAACTATACATGAGTGGATCATTTGGAACCCCTGTTAAGTTAGCCCCTTCCCCCCCTCACCAGCGCTAAATGAATTCTAACACATTCCAAAATTAGGTGCTAATTAAGTGCTGAACTACGAAATTATCATTTGGACCCGGATGAAAATTTTAATCAGCCGTTATTTTTGTACGGTTAATATTGCAGAGTTGAAATGAGGGGGTAAAAAAAACTTGGAATCTTTCTCTGTCGCGATCGCCGTGATGCAATTGTTTCGTTGTTGTTTTGATGCTAATTGTGATGTAATAAAAGTTTGGCTTGGGTGACTTGGACTCATCAAATGTAAATTCGACAGATTTTTACCAAAAGAAAATTCGTTTACAGTAAGTACCTGTTTATTAGTGCTGTATTCAAGCATATTCTCTTTATAATTAAAATATATATTCATTGTGTGTGCGTGTGCGTGTGTGCGCGCGTGTGCGTGTGCGTGTCAAAAAAGAATTTTTGCGAGAGAGGCGTCTTGATGAATCGATCGCTCTATTTCCTCGGATTTATAAAATCGTAAATAAATAATGTCGAAATCACATTGCATTTCTAAAAAAGAAAATACCCGACATATCATTATTCCGAGCATATATAAAAATGCCCCATTTCACTCGTGCAAATAATTATATTTTTAGAATAAATCAATATAATGTATTTTTTACTCGTGTAAATATTATACTTTTTGGAATGAATCAATATAATGTCTTTTTTATCATAAAAATGATTAAAAAAAAACTGATTGTTGAACTCTTCACAAATTGTTCTTTAATATTTTTTGGCATAACTTTTTCAAGTATTATCAAAATCTTTTTATGTTTTGATATTTTGATTCTATACATTTTGACATTTCACACAAACACACACACACACACACACACACACACACACATTAGAAAAAAAAAATATTTTCTATTGACATTTATGATAATTACAAAGCCAATTAAAAACGCCGTGGTGACGTGGATCCGGATATATAAATTAAGACTCCAAAACGAAACATGAAGTTAAGGATTAATATTAGGGGTAAAATTCATAATTTGCGAACATCAAGAACATTATATACATTATATACTCGATTTAGTACAAATCAGATTAAAATTGTATTTTTTCAATTAGATTAAAATTCTATTTTTTCAATCACTATTTTTAAAAAATTCTACCTCAATTTGACCTCGACTTTTTTCGAAATTGAATAAACTCTTATTGAAAAAAAATTAAGATTTGAAGACTTTAAATTTTGAAACATGATTTGTCATTTTTCACCCACCGTTTTATATCATTTTGAAAAAAAGTTTGATTAAAATATCGGCAAGTCTCGACAACTTTTCCGAAATTAAATAACCTTAAAAAAAAAAAGAGAACAAATGGATTAAGATTTGAAAGCTCTGGACAATTTTGAAATACGATTTCTCATTTTTCCCCCTATTATGTGGGACATGCAAGTAACGTATATATTTCCATTCCCTGTTATTAATTATACAACATAATTTAACATATAAAACATGAGCGTACGCGAAAGATGTTGGATGCGAAGAAAAACTGACTACCATTGATTGTATCATGAATTTATTTTGAAATGTCTAATAGTCCTATTTCCTTATGCTCTATATATACAAATGATAGCATGATAAAGTATAATACACAGTTTTAACAAACGTTAACAAATGAATGTGCTAATCTAACATATTAAAAATGATATTATATACTAACGTCTTGGACTGGAGTCATCTCTTGCATTTACCTCGAGAAAAATAAAATCATGTATGTGACACGGTTTATACAAGGTAATAAGATTGTATGCGTTATTTCCATTAAAATAATTTTTAAATTTTCATAGACGTTTCTCTTCTTGTCGCGCCAAAAAATCACGAAGTAAAATCAACATGTACTTTCCTTTGTCACATGTATATATTTGAGGTCTCTTCGAAAGTTCATCATTTGATATAATTATATCAAACTTATATGCTTACGAGCATGATAAAACAAAATGAAAAACATAAAACGTAAAACAAAAACTGATGCAAAAACAAAAATTATTTTGGACGAAATCTGCTTGATTGCAGATATGTCGTTACGTACATAACATGGAATATCGTAGAAATAAAATTATAAATAACATTAGCGTTTTAAATGAAATAATATCGCTCTAAAAAAAAAAACGTTTTTATTTAAATAATAAAACGCCAGGCGTTTCTCTCTATCTATCTTCGGATTTCTATATTTTGTTATATTTTGTTGTAATAATAAGATATACCAGTCCAAAGTTTCTCGATAGCGCAATGCAAAGTGTCTTCCAAATTGTAATACCACAAAATATATCGCTTCATAAATAATATACTATATTCACTACAGACAGAATATTCAAATAATTTCTGCCTTACGTGGAAGATTCACGTTCGACGTGAATCAGTCGTTATAATTATCTCTTTATATACACTTGTTTGCCATGTACACTTT